ATATGATGTTAGCTATACTTTAGTCATATATGTCCTTTATGAAGTTCAGATATGTCCATTCTATTCAAAGTTTCTTGAGAGCTTTTATTATAAAAGGATGCTAAATTTTGTCAAAGGCCTTTTCTGTGTCAGTTGAGATGATCATTTGCTTTTTTTTTCCTGTTTATATGATACATTGCATTTATTTATGTTGAACCACCCTGGTGTGCGAGACAGTGCCAGCTAAGGTTCGAGTCCCAGGCTGGGGCTCTCTGGATGTCAGCTTGTTACTATTATATCATAGAATTTTGAATCTGTGTTCTGAAAAATACTTGTCTGTAGTATTTTTTACGAAGTTCTTATCTTATTTTGGCATTGAGGTTATGCTAGTCCCCCTCTGTCTTCTGAGAAACTGTGTGTGGAGTTGAATTAATAAATTTATATATTATATGAAATGTACCTATATTATGCCTGTATATTTATCATCTATCTGTCTATCTAATCTGGAGGAAAAGATTTTTGTTGTTGTTGTTGTTCTTGGTCATGGGCCTTGAACTCTGGGCCTGGGCCTACCACTTGAGCCACAGTGCCACTTCCAGTTTTCTGGTGGTTAATTGGAGATAAGAGTCTCACAGACTTTCCTGCCAGGGCTGGCTTTCAACTGTGATCCTCAGAGCTCAGCCTCCTGAGTAGCTGGGATGACAGGCATGAGCCACTTGCACCTGGCTAGAGGAAAGTTTTTAACCATCAGTTCACATTTTCTGCTTCTTCCTATGTCAGTTTTGGTCACTTCTGTTTGTGAGAGAACTTGTCTGCATTTTCTGTTGATGCCTCTTAGTATCTGTAGTATCAAGAATAATGACCCCTTTCATATCTCATATGAAGTATATTTTCTTTTTCCTACCATCTATCCCTCTCATTTTTGATTAGTCGAGCTGGAAAATTTATCTCTTATCTTAAAAGTTTCAAAGCTTACATTGCATTTGATTCTTTATTATTGTCCATTTTTTATTTCATAGATTTCTGTTTTGTTTCCTCTTACTTTGCACTTAATATGGGTGTTTTTCCTACCTTTAAAATTTTTTGGCAGTACAGGGGTTTAATTTATAGCAGTAGTAGTGTCTCATTCTAGCTAAGCAGACTCTCTACCACTTAAACCACTCTACCAGTCCTTCTTTGAGCTGGTTACTTTTGAGATATGGTCTTACTTTATGCCCAGGCAGGCCTAGACTGCTTCCTCGTGTTGGTGGGATGACAGGTGTACCCACTACACCCTGCCCTCGTGTTTCTCTGGTAACTTGGGATGATAGTGTACTACCACATCCAGACATTGGTCAAAATGGAATCTTGGAAAATTTCTCCTGCCTAGGCTGGTCCTGAATTGTGATCTCCCAATCAGTATTTCTGCTTTAAAAAAAAAAATAGGCTCTTGCTTTTTGCCCAGGCTGACCTGGACTACAATTTGATTTGTGCTTCCCATGTAGCTAGAATGTCCTGCTTTATATTGGTTGAAATGGGGTTTCATGCCTTTTTTTTTTTTTTTTTTTGGCCCAGGCTAGTCTGAAACCTCAGGCCTCCTGATCTCAGCCTCCCGAGTATCTGGGATGACAAGCATGAGCCACTGTGACCTGCTTTCCTAGCTTTTTAAGGGGGCTATATAGATGTATATTGATTTTAAGCCTTATTTTCAAATATGAACACTTAGAAGCTGTTTTAATAACTTGATGCTTTTATTTTAATCTGTTCTTCAGCATTGCTTAATCTGCTATTAATCTGATTATCTCAGAATTTTATTTGTTTTTTTAGTTCTAGAAATAATTTTTATTTTGGGGGGGGAAGCTCCCTAGTCTTTTTGCTCCTCAAAATCTTTAAATATGTTTATTATGATCCTTTTTAAAGACTTTGCCACTTCTAGCATCTTTTATTTTCTCAGGATTTATTTATTAACAAAAGAAATTCTCCTACAATAAAATGAGCTTTTTCAGGAAGGAGCACATGGTTCTGAGAGTACTGTCATACACAGAGATTGCTGGAAACAAGCTGGTGTAGAAGGAAGCTGCATGCCTCCACTCACAGCTACTCAGGAGGCCAAGGCGGGAGGATTTCCAGGTCAAGGCTAATAACCAAAGAGACCAAAATAACAACAAACAAACAAAAGGGCTCAGGGTGTGGCTCAAATAGGTAAGAAAAAAAGTTGCTGACACATCTTCTCCTCTTGCCTAATGAGTAACCATGAGTCTATCTCCTCAAAAGTCATGTAAGTACAATCATAGACTTTGTAGCCCTTTGGACTGGCTTCTTTCATTCAGTATAGTGCCTGAAGAAGTTATTATATCAATAGTATATTTCCTTTCTTCCCCCTAGTACTGGGGCTTGAAGTCAGAGCCTTGGGCTCTTGCTTGATTTGCTCACTTACAGCTGGCACTCTACCACTTAAACCACACATCCAGTCTGTCATTTTGTTGATTAATTGGAGATGGAGTCTCAAAGACTTTCTTCCATGATCCTCTAGGTCTTACTCTGGCCTGTGCCACTGTCCCCTGGCTAGTCTATTTCCTTTTATTGCCAAGTAGCATCCATCCAACAGGTGTTGCTACAGTTCAGACATGGTTTATGTCCTCCTGAGGACTCAAAGTTGAAGCTTAATCTCCATTGTGGGTCATTAGCAGGTAGACTGTTGTGTTTTAGGCCTTTTGTGCACGGTTCTGACTGAAAAAGTCACAAGGAGGAGCTCCTATCGGTGCCTCCTCCTTGGAGGAGGGATCTCAGGGTGGCAGGGAAGTGGAGAGATCCTGGTTCACTGGGATGGATTAGAGGTGGAGATGGTGGAGTGAACCCAGATTTTAGCCCACAGTGGATGAAGACAGTAATTGACAGATATAGAGAGATTTGTGTATCTGTAGCTAGCAGGCTTAGTGCTTGGCAGCTGAGATGCCTGGAAATAATCACACCCAGTTGCCTACATTTTGTTTTTTAATATTCTCCCCATAAAGAAGTCAGGACTCCTTACTGGAGAAATGGCTCCTTCCAGGTTTCAGGCAGGAGGTGCCCAAGGTGAGCGGGGGCTTCCTATAGTGCTTAGGGAGTGGGGGGTTGCTAAACATGCTCCTATAATGATGGGTGCCCAGCAAGAACTCCCGAGTCAGGGCTGGCCAGCTTGACTCAAGGCAGCACGGTCCAGAGGTTGAATCAATCAATAGGGAAAGGACTCCAGGCCAGTCAGCGAGGGCAAGCCAAGCTCTCCTTTGTCCATCTCAGTGCCACACATGGCTGTTCCTTCCTGAGAAAAGGTTCATCTCTACAGTGGGGAGCTCACAGCATGCCCAGCCCAGGGTTCTGGGGCCTGTCCTGGTAGTGAGCTGTGCCCACAGCGAGGCCCTTTTACCTGGGCACCCCTCCTCCCCTAAACTCACAATCCCTGTAACCCCAGGAAGTGTGTCAGACACCTCCCAGCTCAGGGTTCCTGCTGTGCCTTCAGGGCTGCCAGAGCCAGGAGGGGGTAGGACTGGGGTCCCTGGGGATTCTGGGCATGTCCTGGGACCAGAGCAGGATAGGACACGCAGGAAATCTGAGTAAGGGAACTCTTAATAAAACTGTATGTGTTTTATCTGGTTGCCAGTGGCTCACATTCCACAGTGCTAGCTATTCAGGAGACTGAGATCTGAAGTTTAAAGCCACCTGGGACAGACAAATCCAAGAAACTCTTACTTCAAACTAACCATTAAAAAGCTGGCACTGTAGATGTGGCTCAGGGGATAGAGTACCAGTTGTGAGAAAAAAAAAAAGAAGTAAGAGCATGCTGAATTCAAGCCCCAGTACCAGCACAAAACCTAAAGTGTACCCATATTGACTCATTCATTATAATAGATGCAACTTACTGATGTGTGAGGGATTAACAGTTGTAGTTGGGAGCTCTGTGCCTCACACCTGGAAACCTAGCTGCCCGCTGTGCCGAGATCTGGGGGTTGAAGTTTAAGGCAAACCCAGGCAAAAAGTTAGCAAGATCCCATCTCAATCAGTAAAAAGCTAGTGCAGTGTCCTGGCCTTGTGAGAACCATAAATAGGAGGTTTGTGGCCTAGGCAAGCTTAGGCACAAATGAGACACCCACACACACACACACCACCCCCCAAAAATGAGCCGGGCACCAGTGGCTCCTGCCCGTCATCCTAGCTACTCAAGAGGCTGAGATCTGAGGATTGCGGTTCAAAGGCAGCCCAGGCAAGAAAGTCAGTGAGACTCTGATCTCCAATTAACTACCAAAAAACCAGAAATGGAGTTGTGGCTCAAGCAGTAGAGCGCTCACCTTGAGCAAAAGGAGCTCAGGAACAGTGCCCAGGCCCTGAGCTCAAGACCCATGACGGACAAAAAAATGAAAAAAGGCCTTGACCATACAGCTTATTAGGTGTTTTGAATGCTTCTGTCAGCTCTAATGCTTGGTGGTTGTGCTCCTAGTTAGCAGCCCTGTGCTGTAGAAACTGCCTTGCACAGAGCCAGCTCAGTGCTCTCCTGCTTCTCTGGGTATTTGTTGACCCTGTCTCTAAGGCTTGCTTGATTGGAGACCCTCCTGGGTGGAAAAGCAGCCCCTCTCCACCCTTGCAGACGCCTTTCCATCCTGTCCATCCCTGAGTGCTTATCGGCCATGTGCCTTTTGCTTGCTGCTTCCCCGGCTCAGCATAGCTGGGCTAGGAGTTAGCCAGGGACTGGAAGTAAGGCTGGGCAACAAGCAAGGGAGGGCCTCAGAGTAGGAACTGGGCCTCTCAGACAGGCCCTGCCCTTCCCACTAGTGGACCGCCCCGTCTCCGCCTGGTCTTGCTCTGCCCAGACAGTTCTGCTCCGCTTTGAACAGGCAGTTGGTTCAGGCGCTCCAGTATTTCTCCACTCCTGGGCGGCCCTAGTTCTGGAGCGGGAGCAGCTGTTTGTCTCTGCAGACGACCTCATTGGTCTAGAGCGAGGGCGGAGGGTGCCCCTGAGGGAGGGAGACGGGGCGTCTGCCTTGCCTGGCCTCCACTTTCCCTTCCCAGCTCTGTGCGACTCTCACATCATGCTAGGAGATCCCTGCAGTCTCCCCACAGACCGAGCTCTACTCAGCCAGCCCCCCAAAACTGGGCTCCGCTGCAAAATGGTGCTTCAGGCCGTCAGCAGAGTGCTCAGGTAACGGTGGGCGGTCTGGACTGGCAGGCAGGCAGGTTGGGTGGGTGGGCTGCTGTGGGGGCAGCGCAGGGCCAGCCTGGAAGCTCAGCCTGCTGAGCCCACTGCCCGGAGCAGTCAGCAGCCCATTGTCTGGGGCAGGCAGGTCTGGTCTGGAACTTCGCTGAGTGAGTTCTCCTTCACTGTCCACTCCTGCTGCCACCTGGAGAGCTGCCCGGAAGGGAGCCCTCACCCAGGACCCTCAGTGGCTGGCTCCTAAGGGTCCTGCCCCTGCCCTTCCCGACTGCTGAACAAGGGGCGTGTTTTAACAGCAGGTATGACTGCCCCATTGTTCCAGCCGGTGGCTGGCCGGGGCAGTTTTGGCTGTTTGAAACAAGGGTAAGCCGGAGCCTGTCCTTGAGTGTCCGAGTCGAGAGAGAAGTGTCAGCAGCACCCGTCGGCTGTGGTCAGCTGCAGAGCTGCTGCCAGGGGCTGGTTCTGATGGTGTGCGGTGGTAGTGGTGGTGGTCTGCCCCCAAGCCTGTGTGTACATGTGTGTGTGTGAGTGATGGAAGGTGTCATGCAGCTCTGTAAGGGGACCCTGAGCACCTTGTGTGTGTCTCTGGTGGGACAGTGCTTTTGAGGGGCTCTGGGGCCTGCTCCTCGGGTGTGAAGGAGCAGCACCACCATAGTTTTCCTCCTTCGGTGCAGCACTCCTGTGTTTGTCCATTGTCTCCCTGGGTTGCCACTTAAAGTGCAAGTAACTAGCTAAGTAGCCTAGTGCCCTTCAGGAGGGTCCTCAGCGGCCATTCAGTCCCTCTGCACCTTCCTGTCTCTGGGCACCCCTGGCTCCGTCTGTCTCACCTGCAGCGTGACTGTCTGCACCTCCGTGTGGAGGCCCCTGCAGCACGTGCCAGGGGGAACCAGCGAGCTGTCTGCCCAGGGTTAATGTGAGGTGGCAGTCTGGCGGCCTCATTAGCTCTTGTCCAGAGCAGCAATGGCCAGCAGCGGAGGGAGAGTGTGCTGGTGGGCAGCTGCGGGGGCCTGCCTAGCACGGGTCAGGGAGGGGTGTGTCCCAGCCTGCTCTCCACACAGTGGCTGTGGGGGTTGAAGGAGAACCTGCTCCGGTGGGCATGTGGCCCTTTCTCTGTTCTCTTGGCAGTGTCCAGCCGAGTGGATGTCCTACTGAGTCAGAAACACAGTCAGCTGGCGAAAGTGCTTCTTGTCTGAGGGTTCCACCAGAGGAGAGCTTATGGGTCCCTGAAGCTCTGGCTGGCCCAGCCTGGGCAGTGCAGTTGTGTGGAGGGATGGGGATGGGCTGGGGAGGGTCTGCCTCCTCAGCCTCTGAGGCAAGTGACAGACCTGGCAAGGATACAGTACCCACCGGGGGAGGGTGTTCCTCCTAGCTTCAGGGCTCCACCTCAACACAGGGCCAGACTCTATCAGAAGCTGGGGCAGGGAGTGAGCTCCTCCCCACCTGCCCGGTCCTGGCGTGATGCTTCTGGTGAGCTGAGGGTCAGAAGCTAGGCGTGTTGGGCCCAGCCACAGGGGCTGCTGAGCTTCACCCTGGAGCCACAGAGTCCTCTGTGGCTCAGGGATGGGAAAAGAGGCCATTACAAGCCTTGACCTAGGATGTGGCAGGCTGACCAGCACGGGTGCTGGTCCCGACAGGTGGGTGAGCTCTGCTGTGATGGCCCACTCCACGTGCTCTCTTTACTCCTGCATCTCTTCCCGAATAGCTGTGTCTCAGGCTCGGGTTTGCACATCCCCTGTGCCCACCCCCAGCCCCATTCCCACATGACAACCTGTCTGGGATGGGAGGGGCAGCAGGTTTGGGAAGGCCAGCTCCCCAGCTACTTTTCCTCTTGAGGCCTCTGCCCTTGGGTGTCCTTTCTTAGAGTACTGAGCTCTGCCATGGTTCTCTTTAAATGGCTCCCTTCTGTCCCCAGGCTTCTCACCTACTGGGCCACTGCCCGCTGCCTCAGGGGCTCCATTCCCTCTCTCCTTAACCTTTGTGTGCTCCCCAAATCCACCAGCACCCCTCTGCCAGGGAAGGTTCTGTGTAGGACAGAGCTCAGAGCCTGCCAGACTCCAGGGCAGAGGACGTGGTCCCCCACCACTCACCTTGAGGCCCTGGGCCCAGAGGGTACCAGTGGCCTGGTCCCCACGTCACCAGGGCCACCCCGCTGAGCACAGCTGCCCGTCCCCCCTCCCCCCCATGGCACCACAGACATCACAGAGACTCATTCTGTTTTAAAATCTCAGGTTTACTTTGCTCCTTGGAGGTCAGGCTTTCAGCCAGGGTGGTGCTGTGGTGGCCAGGATTGATTGGTGCCTCTTGCCATGGTTGCCAATTTGCATAGTGTCTTGGAAGTGCAGTGTTCTGTGGGGTCTCAGGACCAAGGGGAATGTGCCACATGGGCTACCTTGAGGTCAGAGATGTCTAGAGCGGGTGGGGGTGGTCAAGTGGCCTGGGGGAGGCAGGGAGACAGCGATCCTGGTAGGGCTGGACACACCCAGAGGGTGGCACCTGCCCAGGGGGTCCAGCCTTGCCACACCTCCCGGGGGCTTTGTTCTTTCAGCTGGCTTAGGCCAGGTGCCCACTTCCTGGCCCTGTCCTGCCCAGGCTTAGGTCTGCCCCGCAGGCTCCATCCACATCCACGAGTTTCCCTGACTGGCCGACCCACAGTCTCTCTAAGCCCTGGCCAGCAGGGACATGATCCTGGGTAGGCTTCTGGGTTTGGGTTGAACAAAGCCTGTTTTAAATCCCGGGAAACTTAGGGGGTAGGCAGTCTCAGCTCTCTACCAGGCTAGGATTTGAGTGAGGACATACACCCCAGGCAGAGAAACTGGAGGTGGTGTTCTAGAGGAGTCCCATGCTTTAGCCACCGGGAAAGTGAGAGAAACAGGTTCCTAGGGCTGCCATCCTTCTGAGACTCTTGTACCAGCGTCTGCCAGGTCCTCCCTTGTGCAGACTGGGTCCACCTCGCCTCACTCTAGCCCCCTGGGACTGAGTCTGATCAGCCCATGACTGGGAGCCTGAGAAACTGAGGCTGGCATGAGGGTATCCCAAAATGCACTGTGACCCGGGGGTCCTAGGCAGGCCTTGAACGATTGGGACAGAGTGAAACAGCGAAGAGCGTGAGGGGAGAGGCGGAGGAGCTGTGTGTACCGCCTGTTTATTCTAGAAGGGCGGGAGCCACAGAAGACAAGGTGCCAGTGCTCTTGTGGCTGTTGGCAGCCAGTCTCTGTGATGAGTAACAGAGGGGTCTGGGCCGTCCAGACATTGTCCGTCCCTGGCTTTTCTGAGAACCAGTGGTGAGGTTTGGTTTTGGCTTTTGTTGTTGTTATTGGTTGTGGGGCTTGAACTGGGCCTAGGTACTGTCTCCGAGCCTCTTTATGCTAGCGCTCTACCATTTAAGCCATAGCACCACTTCCAGTATTTGAGTGGAGTGGTACTCAGATCTCAGCCCCCTATAATACTAGGATTACAGTCATGAGCCACTGGTGCCTGGCTTGTCCTTGTCCTTTAAAGGGCCTTCCCCACTCCCCAAACAGTGCTAGTGTGAGTGCCGGAGGCTGGAGCAGGTTCTGAGAGCCACACCAAAAGTTGTGAGGATGATGATCACTGGTTTTTGTTGTTACTTTGTGCTAGTCCTGGGGCTTGCACTTAGGGTCTGTGGGGGCTGTCTCTTGAGTTTTTGTGCCCAAGGCTAGTGTTTAATTACTTGAATCACAGATCCACTTTCGGCATTTTTTTCTTTTCTTTTCTTTTCCTTTTTCTTTCTTTCTTTCTTTCTTTTTTTTTTTTTTTGGCTGAATAATTGGAAATGAGTCTCACAGATTTTCCTGCCTGGGCTGGCTTCGAATCTTGATCCTCAGATCTCAGTGTCTTGAGTCGCTAAGATAATAGGCATAAGCCACCAGTGTTGATGATGACTGTTTTTCATTAGAAGTTCTTCCTGGTTGTCCCATTCCCCACTCATTGTAGTTTGCAGGTGACCTCATCTTACATTAAAGCGCATAGAAAGAGATTAGCACCTGCTTGGCTTCCTGACCACACTGTAATACCCTCTTCCTGCTCTATGATAGGAGACCAGGCACAGCATATTTGACTGGCCCCGGTAAAGTTCATCCTACTGTAGGACAGATGTGTAGGAGGCAAAAGTCAGACTGGTGGTGAGGGCTAGGACCAAGGTCTCAGAAAACCTGTCTTGCAAGGATGGTAGGGGCATGACCCAGCAAGGACTATTGCATGGCTCTGGTACCTACTGCAGTTGAATCACATGCCCAGGATTAGATTCTAAGTTGGCCTCAGCTTTCCGACTGCACATGAACTCAGAACACATCAGAAGTCAAAAACTAAGGGTCAGAGAAATGTTGGGGACAGGGACTGGCCAGTTCTGAGGATGCTAGAGGAGCTCTTCTTGGGGTTTTTCTCTGTCCATGGCTCCTGAAAAGCCTAGAAGCCACACTGTGCCAGGGCCTTGACGTGCCCCACTGTGTGTGTAGTGTCCACATCTGCACTGGCACACAGCTTGGGCTGTGTCAGGAGCCCCACGCTGGGCGGATCCTTGCCCTGTCCCATGCCTGGCTCTGGACACGTCATTCCTCCTCCCTGCCCCTCCCCAGAGGCTGAGCACAGGCCACCTTTTAAGGCAAAGATTTGCCATGAGAAGCCAAGAGGAAAACATTTCCCTGGCATTCAGGGAACATTTTTCTTTCTTCTTTCTCTTAAATAAACCATCAGGAACCTTTCAAAACACAAGAAAGGAAAAACTAGGACCCAGAGAGCTACAGAGACCTTTCACCCCACCCCAACCCCCATGTGGTCTCTCAGGCTGGAGAGCAGAGCTTGGCTTGACTGCCTCCCTGCCCCATGAGTCTTGGCTGGCTTCACTGCCCCGTGTCCTCAGGCAAAAGGACAGGTAGGTGCCCAGCCCAGGTCCTGGCCCAAGGCCCATGCTGGACATCCAGGGGCAGTGACTGGCCGCCTGGAAGCAGTCAGGATGAGGTTTGTGCCTCCTTTCTTGGAGTAGGCATGGACACTGAGCTCCTGCTCCTTCCTGCCCTTGCTGGTTGGGAAACAACTGTGGCCTGAGTGGCATTTCCTTTAGCACGGCCTTTTACCACACAGTGTCCTGGCTGCCACGCCCTTCCATTGTAACCATGCCGGTGTGGACTCCAGCTGCTCTGGCCCCCTGGAGGCCTGTTATCTCTGGGCAACTTTCTGCCTGGATTATTTTGTCCCTTCCCATCCTGCTTGGTCCTGAGTAAAGGGGACAGATGACCTCAAGGGGTTCAGGTGGCCCTGTTCAAGGCCTGGTATGGTCTGGCTCCTGCAGGTCATGTGGTGACCATGCTGTCCTTTCTCTCCGGACAGAAAGTCTAAAGCAAAGCCAAATGGCAAGAAGCCTGCTGCAGAGGAGAAGAAGATGTACCTGGAGCCGGAGCATACCAAGTCCAGGATCACCGACTTCGAGTTCAAGGAGCTGGTGGTGCTTCCCCGGGAGATCGATCTCAATGAGTGGCTGGCCAGCAACAGTGCGTTGGGCAGGGAGGCCCCCCCCCCCAAGGACGCCCAGAGCTGGCACTCAGCAGCCCACCTGCCGTCTGGGGAGGGTGTGGCTGTGGACAGGCCCGGGCTCCTCAGCTGAGTCCCAGAGCACGTCAGCCAGAAGCAGGGGTGTGTTCTGACCTGGCCCTTTCCTCCTTCTTTTCCAGCAACGACGTTTTTCCACCACATCAACCTGCAGTATAGCACAATCTCAGAATTTTGCACAGGGGAGATGTGTCAGACGATGGCCGTGCGTAACACGTGAGTAGCAGCCTAGCCATAGCCCCTGCTGAAAGCCATGGAATGGGCCATGGTGGGCCTGCTGCTCTGCTTCCGCTTCTCAGAGTCCCTTCTCACTTGGCGAGCTTGTAGAGTCCTCCACAGTGCCCTCCTGTCCCTGCAGAGCAGGTGGCTTTTATCAGACGTCCCTGCTGGGACGGAGACCTGCCAGGAGCCAGCAGAGGCCACCAGGCAGGGAGGGTGTCAGGGATTACCCGTGGGACAGTGGACGTGGTTATGGGAAGTGCTCCTCTACTCAGTGTGCTGAGAAGGGAGTGGCAGGGGCTGGCATGAGCAGCTTCTCGGGTCTGTGCACCTTCTCAGAGACTTGGGAAAGGCCCTGGTACCTTCTGGAAGTGTGTGCATGTTCACTTCTACACAGGCAGGTGTCCCTGAAGGACCTCAAGTCACTTTGCTCACTTTGAATAGGAATCTGTGGGGTTGGAGGCACTGGGTGGGGGTAGGAGTGACCAGGGCTGGTACTGGCAGAAGGCCCAGATGGAAGTGGACATGGCTAGGAGGGATAAAAGATGTTTGGTTTGGTTTGGTTTGGTTGTGGGGTTTGAACTCGTCCTAAGTGCTGTCCCTTAGCTCTTCAGCTCAAGGTGAACGCTCTACCACTTGAGCCACAGCACCACTTTCAATTTTCTGGTGGTTTATTGGAGATAGTCTCATGGACGTTCCTGCCCGGGCTGGCCTTGAGCCACTATCGTCAAATCTCAGCCTCCTGAGTAGCTAGGATTACAGGTGTGAGCCACCGGCACCCGGCTAGATCTTTTCTGATGTCTCCTCAACACAGGCCAGCAGCATATGCAGATATATAAACATGGGTGTGGCTATGGGTCAAGGACTGGTGCAGTCATATATGAACATGTATGTGTACATGCCATCCTGCGCAGAGGTGTGGCTCTCCCAAGTCCTGGCATAGAGAGAAGCGGTCTCAGTTAAGAGGCGGGCTTTTCTCAAGAGCCCACCTGAAGCCTCACAGCCAATGGCAGGCCTCCCTTGGTCTTAACCAGCTGACCTGTTGATGTGGCCATGGTGGTCACAACTTGGTTCTTGGTGGCATGGGGTGAGTGTACTCTGCAGCTAGCTCTCCATGCCTAGAAGAGGCAAACATCACTGTGTTGAGCCCTGCTAGGCAGGACAGCGCTGTGCAGTCATGCCTAGAGCAAGCTCACTGTGCTTGGGACAGAGGTGGCCTACTTAGGCAGACCCCATGATAGGACTGCCCAATGGCGAGAGAGCAGCCCTCGGGAGCATATGTGCCGTCTGGCTCAGGGGGTGGCTGCTGGTAGCAGTGTCTGAAATGCCTGTGTGCACCAGCCCAGCCCTCTCCCTGGTTTCTCCACGCCCACAGGATCTTGAGTAGTGGATTGGTTAGAGAAAGCTCCCTGGAAAGAGCCTCAAGTGGGAAGTTAGGCAGATTTGCCGTAGATATGCTGTCTGTCCTACCCAGTGGCCACTGGGGAACCAGGGCAGCCTAAACTCTCCTCTGGATCTTGGCTCTAACTGGCTTTATGGAATCATTTTATACGAGTTAATGATTTGTGTCATCCCTCTCTAAGAATCCTTTGAAACCAAGGCATTGGGGACTCAATTTGGAAGGAAAAAGGGTATTGGTTAGAGATCTACAGAGCTCCTTACTCCCACCAAGGCAATCGGTTTGGGAACCTGCTAGGGTTAGGGGGACGCTGTGCCAAGCCTGGGGCCTGACTCTGCCCCCCAGTGCCAATAGGATAATTTAGACCCTGACACCAGGGTCTAAAAGGAGAGAGTAGGTGGATCGAGACGCTCAGCTGTGATGGCGCGTGCTCCATAGCCGTAGGCTCCTAATGCAAAGAGCGGAAGTCGTGATGGCGCATGCTCCATAGCCACAGGCTCTGAATGGAAAGAGCGGAAGTTGTGATGGCGCGTACCCCTTAGACCTCAGTTCCACACCTGAAAAGCATGCTCCTTAGAATATGGCCAAGGTACAGCGTCTAGCATCCTGCCACAGGAGACTTGTCTGGGCTGCCGGCTAGGTGGTGAGTGTTGCAGAAACCTAAGTGCAAGGCCTCTGGGCTCGTAGACCATGTCGGACGGGCAGAGCCACATAGGAACCTGGTCTGACTGGTTCTCAAGGTTATGGAGAAGACAAGCCAGATGCTGCGGCAGGGAGGGAAGGGAGGTGCTTCTGGCAACTAACTACACCTCCTGGCTGCAGCCTTGCCTGGATGCCGAAATGAGCATGGAAAGCTAAACGTGCACTTTGAACTCTGTGGACAACTCTAAAACTATAGTTAGAATTGTAGTGGGCAGACTAAAGTGGGATACTTAAACCGTTCAGCTCGAGTGAAATAATGCCAGCCCTGAGGGGGTGAAGCTCAGCAAGAGCATGAGGCCCTGAATTCCAGCCCCACTCCCAACACCAAAAGAAAACAAAAAGGAAGAGAATGCAGCTCAATGGAAAGCGAGAAAGAGGAAATCCAGGGGAAGAAAAAGCAAGAAAAGAGAACAAGCAGAATGCTAATGATATAAGCCTGACCAGCAGTGCATGGGAACAGTGTGTACATAGAATCACACAGCAGGTGTCAGAATGGATTCTTAATGAGCTCTACCATGCAGCCTTTACAGGAAATCCACTAGGCTTAGTCTGTTTGTGCTGCTATAACAAGCCTCGGAGCAGCACAAGTTCATTTCTCACTGTTCAGGGCCGGTCTAGTGAGAGCATCCTGATTCATAGATAGCAACCTCACAAGGTACACTTGGCCTTCGTTTTGTTTTTTAATTCTTAACAATATTTCATATTTAAGAGCTAGAAACAAAATGAGAAAACAAAACCAGGCACCGGTGGCTCATGCCTGTAATCCTAGCTACTCAGGAGGCTGAGATCTGAGGATCGCCAGGCCAGGCAGGAAAGTCTGTAAGACTCTTATCTACAATAAACCACTAGAAAACTGGAAGTGGTGCTGTGGCTCAAGCGGTAGAGCGCTCACCTTGAGCTGAAGAGCGCAGGGACAGCACCCAAGCCCAGAGTTCAAGCCCCACAACTGAAAAAAAAAAAAAAAGTGAGGAAACAAGAAAAAAGGTAAATTTTAGAAAACATCACTGCTTTTTAGTGAACCTCATCAGTTTTATAAAGGAAATGCCACTAAGACATAGGAATGAATGACATTACAAAAATATGACTCATAGTATTACTTTGAAAGAAAGAAAACGTAACTATAAAAGACCGAATAAAGCCAGGTACTGGTGGCTCATGCCTGTAATCCTAGCTACTCAGGAGGCTGAGATCTGAGGATTGCTGTTCAAAGCCAGCCTGGGCAGGAAAGTCGGTGAAATTCTTATCTCCAAATAACTGCCAGAAAACTGGAAGTGGTGCTATGGCTCAATTGGAGAACACTCTCCTTGGGCTGAAGAGCTGAGGGACAGCACCCAGGCCCAGAGTTCAAGCCCCACAATTGACAAAAAAAAAAAAAAAAAGACTGGTTAATACTAGAAAATTTAAGCAGCACGTGAATCCTCTCTAGTAACACAAGCCTTGCCGGACAGGAAACTTCTCTTCTGCCAAGGCCACAGGGCCCCTTGGATATTTCCATCATTCTAGGACCATGCACAACCATCATATCACAGTACAAACATCACATACAAAACAGCCCCAAGCCCACAGGCTGGACATCCCCACCAAAACATTTTTTTTTTTAAAGTTCACTTATTTTGGTACCAGCTACTAAACCCAGGGCCTTGCCTATACCTCAGACAGCAGCACCCTGCACCGAGCACCCACCAGAGCATCCACCTGTGACACACCGCTGGCTGGCAGCACTTGGGGACATCCCAGCTCCCCGGTGTCACTCTCCAAGCTGTGTCATGTCCTAACTCACAGAAGAATTTTATTTATTTAGCCAGTCCTGGGGCTTGAACTCAGGGCCTGGGCGCTGTCGCTGAGATTATTTTACTCAAGTCTGGCACTCCACCACTTGAGCCACAGCACCACTTCTGGCTTTTTCTGTTTATGTGGTATTAAACCCAGGGCTTCATGCGTACTAGGCAAGCACTCTACCACTGAGCCACCTTCCCAGTCCTCACAGAATAATGTTAAAGAATTGAAGGCATACTGTATAAGTTATCCAACTGCTGTGGAGGAAAACCGGACATAAGTAATAGAGAAATATCTCTCCCTGGGAATTAGCACACTCCCAAAGAGTTGGAATAATTAAAGCCAAACTAGAAATCACTAAAATTGACTTCTGAAAGCAGTAGGTCAAATCAAGGAAACCAAATACAATTTCTGTGAAAGGTCAAAACTGGTGAAACTTTAGATGCAAAGATAAAAAAAAAAGAAGATAGAGGTTATCAGTATAAGGATGGGACAGTAGCCTTACAAAGCCAACGATGCGAGATGCTTTGCAAAGATTCTTTCCATGCATATACATCTTACAACTTGGACTAAATGAATGGTACTTTAGAAAACATAAAATTCTACAACTTACAGTAAGTAGTGCAGTAAAGCAAGGATATGAAATAAAAAGCATCCCAATTGGAAATAAAGAAATAAAATTTCCCTACATGATTGTGAAAACCTCAAAGATTCAATCAGTAAATTTAGCAAGGTCAGCACGCACACACACACACACAAAGTCAGACACAGTTCTACATATTATGTGAAATTGGAAACCTAAATTAATTTGTCAGAGAAATTGTGAGCTACTTAGTTTAGGTATAAACTTAACATCCACAGGATTTGTACCCTGGAAACGTTAATGCAGGAAATCAAAGAGGCCCTCCATAACTGGTGAAACATTGAGTTCATGCATTGGAGGACACAGCTTACTAAAAATGTCAATTCTGCCCCAAACTCATCTATTGGGTTAATGTAACCCCATCAAAAGCCCAGCAGAGATTTTAGCCAATTAATTTAAGCTAACCATAGTCTCTTACAGCAGTAGTTTCTAATTTTGAACTTGGAGGAATCCCACAACTTTTAAGATTTACTACCAAACCACAATAACAGTGTGGTGTTGGTGAAGGGACAGACAACAGATCAGTGATCAGAACAGAGTCCAGAAGGAAGCTTACCTTATGGCTCTTAGATTCTGACAGAATAGCCAAAGAAATTCGATGGAGAAAGGACAGACTTTTCAACAAATGGCTGCTGTGAAAACAGCCACCATTATTCAGGAGAAGGGAAAAGAACACTGACCTCATGCCTTGTGCAGAAAAATGTGAGACTGTAAGATGTTTAGAAGGAAAGTTTCAAGAACTGCCGGTACTCCCAACAGCTCTTGGGCGTGGTACCAAAGTGCAACCCGTTGATGAAAAGAGAAACTTGAATGGGAGGAAATGTGTGTTGTGTGATTCATATACTACTCAAAGGACAAGTATCCAAAGTACATAAAGTGCTCACATTGTACCAATAGGAAACCAACCCAGATTCCAGAGCAAAGGGCTTGACAAGATCACCAAAGTGACGTAGATGTGGCGGTGAGCCAGTGAGAAGATGCGCAGCATCAGCTATGCAAGTTGAAATGCTGCTGCTCCCCAGCCAGCACCCCTGCACCCTGGCCAGCACCTGCACAAGCCCCAGTGGCAGGAAGGATGTGCAGCGAGCCTTGCTGAGGGATGCAGATGGGCAGTGCTCTGTGCTGCTAGGGGTTTGGCAGAGCCTCCTGAATGGAGCACATCCCAGCCTGCGGATCTGCCCCAGAGCAATTGGAACTTGTGCCGGCATGGAAACCCACACAGGAATAACAGCCTGGTCCACGGTTGCCTCCTCTCCCCAGCTGGGAAAGAGGCAGACACACTCACCAGGGGAGAGTGTGTAGAGGCTGCGTCTGTGACGGTTGCTGCGTCCCCCTGCACGGCCAGACCGCGGCAGCTGTGACCCGACACCTCGCTGACAAAGCTCCCACCAGCCGGGTGCCTGGCGCAGCACCCACTCTCAGCAGAGCGAGGTCGTGGTTCTGTGAGTCTGTATCGTTGAGGCTCATGGCCTCCGTACGCCGTGACCCTGGCCTGCCTGGGACCCGGGGTCACGGGAAGACTGGCCTCCTGCACACTGACTGGGGGCTTGAGGTGAGCAGCCAGGGCCAGGCCTGCAGCACCCAAGCAGAGGGTTGCTTCCAGTGGGGGAAGCCAGCCCCCACCAGGCCCTCGGCTGCCTCCCAGGCCCTGCTCTAGGCCCATTCACTTGAAAGAATAAACCTGAAGTTGTGCAGAAGAAAAGGACCATGGCTACACTTTTGTCTACACATGGCTGCGGTGCGGTTGCTGCGTTTTCCTTGGTTGCTGTTCCGTTGTGGGGTGGTCTCTACCCGTCAGTGGGGGGCGGGGAGTGCCTCCTGCCTGCGCAGGCCCCATGCTGTGCTTAGGGTGGGAGGAGGGCCTGCCGAGCCTGACCTTGCTCTCTGTCCCCACAGACAGTACTACTGGTATGACGAGAGGGGCAAGAAGGTCAAGTGCACAGCTCCCCAGTACGTGGACTTCGTCATGAGCTCTGTACAGAAGCTGGTGACGGACGAGGATGTGTTCCCTACGAAATACGGTGCGTCTGAGAGCATGGCCAGCGCCGGCCGGCACGTGCTTAACCCTGCCTGCCAGGCTCGTGCGCCCAGGCAGAGGTGCAGGTGCGGGGGAGGGCAGCAGCAGACCTGGCTGTGAAGGAGGGGGCTAAGCTCAGGTTGACCGCCTCCCGCTCTGGGACCATGGAGCCATGACAGGGCCCTGCTTGGTGAGGCCACCAGAGTCCACTGCTGGGGCTTCTGGGGCTGGTGGAACCAAGAGCTGGTCCCGAGCTGCCCGAGTGAGCACAGGGGCTCCCCAGTCTCAGCCACGGAGCCCTGGGCAGTCCCTCAGGAAGCCCAGGGAGCTGAGAGCCACTGGCCTCCTGCGGGCCAGCCCTCCCCCCCACCCCCCGGCCACGCAGAGATCCTGCCAGTGCGCCCTCCCAGGTGGGTGTCACTTGAGCACCTGTGGGGCTGAGGCTGCTGTGGCTCCCTGGCCCAGGATGTGCCCTGTGAGGGCCACAGGGCAGGGGGTGCGGGTGGTAGGCAGGTCCAAATGTTCCAGGCCAGCCCTGGAGATGCCCAGTTGCAGGAGTGTGGCCACGCAGACCTGTGACACCCGCCTCCCCCCAGGCAGAGAATTCCCCAGCTCCTTCGAGTCCCTGGTGAAGAAGATCTGCAAGTACCTGTTCCATGTGCTGGGCCACATCTACTGGGCCCACTTCAAGGAGACGCTGGCCCTCGAGCTGCACGGACACTTGAACACTCTGTACGTCCACTTCATCCTCTTCGCCCGCGAGTTCAACCTGCTCGACCCCAAAGAGACCGCCATCATGGACGACCTCACGGAGGTGTTGTGCAGCGTCCCCGGAGGAGGCGGCGCTGGGGACGGGGCCGGCGGCGGGGCCCCTGGGGCACAGAACCACGTCAAGGAGAGATGAGGCCCCGGGGCCGGACAGGGTGCACATGTGCGAAGAGACAGCTGTGTCTGCGTCTGCGTCTGCGCACACCGGGCACACTGGTGGCGAGGCCACAGGCCCCGAGCCGCGCCGAGCGTGGGCCCGCCGATGCGCTGTGGCCACGGCGTCTCCTGCCTTCCCTGTTGGATGGATGAGTGTGGTGGGTAGCGAAGAGCCTTGGGAGTCATTCATTCATTCAACACCCATGTATCGGACTGAATTTCCTTCTGTGGGGTTTTCCTGTTGGGTCTTCCACGTGGCCCTCCTTCCCTGGCCCCTCCCTTGGGTGCTCTGCCGCTTTGAAAGAAACGGTGGGGGGGCTGTAGCTCCAGGTTCCACTCTGCTTTGGTTCCAGCCCCGCCCCCACTTTGCCTTCATTCTAGCTGTGGGTGGCTCAGAGTCTGGGATGGGGAGGCCTGGGGTAACCCGGGAAGGCCCACACCTCCTGTTTGCTCCTGCCACCCTTTCCTGCTGCCTCTAAAATACCCAGGGAGGGCCTGCCGTGCAAAGGGCCAGCACGGGGCCGGGACAGGCCAAGGCCCTGTGTGGAGGTGCAGCTGTCAGCAGAAGGCCGAGATCCGCTTTAGTTCATCTGTTCAGTCGTAATAAAAAGAATTCTCTCAGGTCAGAGCCTGTGTGTGTCCTCAGCCTGCTACTCCTGCCGGCCTGCAAGCCATACCCCCTGTGGGTGGCCCTGCGTGCCCCCCAGCTCCCAGGCTGGGCGGGCACTACCACCAGTTGTGGGCTGCCAGAACCTCCTCTCTTGGTGGTATATTCATCCAACAGGAAGGGCTATGGTTGGCTGGAGGTTGCTGAGGGGCACTGGCTGGCCCCACACAGGGCTCTGCTGCAGGGTTCTGCTGCAGGACTCACTCCTCTTGTGGCCCAGGCCCTAGTAGGCTAGAGGGGATGAGGGGAAAAGGGCCTGGCCTGGTCAGCACAGAATGCGGAGCATGGCGTCCTGGGCCCTGAGAGCCACCTGCTGCTCTGAGAGCTGTTCCATGGGTGAACTGCAGCCCCCCCACACCTTGGCCTGGCACTCACCTAGCCCTCCCGCTCACCCCTTAGCCCCTCACAGCTCCAAGGCACCCAGCCAGAGGCCCCTCCCCTATTCTGCACCTTCCTGGGGCCAGCTGCCCAGGACTCTTGCCTCCAGTTGTTCCTCTTCCTGCTAGGGAAGCTCCTCCCACCTCCCCAGCTGGAGAAGCTCCTCCCACCACCCCAGCTGGAGAAGCTCCTCCCACTCCCCCAGCTGGGGAAGCTCCTCCCACCTCCCCAGCTGGAGAAGCTCCTCCCACTCCCCCAGCTGGGGAAGCTCCTCCCGCCTCCCCAGCTGGGGAAGCTCCTCCCGCCTCCCCAGCTGGGGAAGCTCCCCAGCTGGAGAAGCTCCTCCCACTCCCCCAGCTGGGGAAGCTCCTCCCGCCTCCCCAGCTGGGGAAGCTCCTCCCACCACCCCAGCTGGAGAAGCTCCTCCCACCACCCCAGCTGGAGAAGCTCCTCCCACCACCCCAGCTGGGGAAGCTCCTCCCACCGCCCCAGCTAGGGAAGCTCCTCCCACCGCCCCAGCTGGAGAAGCTCCTCCCGCCTCCCCAGCTGGGGAAGCTCCTCCCACCACCCCAGCTGGGGAAGCTCCTCCCACCACCCCAGCTGGGGAAGTTCCTCCCACCACCCCAGCTGGAGAAGCTCCTCCCACCACCCCAGCTGGGGAAGATCCTCCCACCTCCCCAGCTAGGGAAGCTCCTCCCACCGCCCCAGCTGGGGAAGCTCCTCCCACCTCCCCAGCTAGGGAAGCTCCTCCCACCACCCCAGCCACCTGCTGCCTCCACCCAGCAGGAAGTCAGGAAGCCAGGGGCATTCACTGCCCCACCCCGCTTCTGAACCACGGGGCTCGCTCAGCTTGCTTGCCATCTCCTGCCCTAGGCTGACTGGGGACAGCTTAGAATCTCCTTGCAGTGCAGAGTGTGATGCATGCTTGTCACTCCAGCATTTGGGGGGCTGGCAAAGGAGGCTCTTGAGCTTGAAGCCAGCCTAGTCTGCATCCCCAATGCTAACCATGGTTCAACCTCAGGCTGGAGCCCTGGGGGCTGCACGTCCCCTCCCCAAGGCTGTGGAGACTCCCTGCCTCAGCGTGGACCCCAGGCCCCTCAGGCATCGTGACCACTGGACCCCACTTGGGGCTGGTGTGGGAGCCAGAGCAGGGCCCGCCGAGGCTGGGGTGCCACAGGACCTCAGGATGGGGGCAGCTTGGGCTTGGCCTGGTGGCCGTCCTTCCTTGCTCAGTGCATTCAGGAACGTGGCCAGGCAGCCCACTGGGGCTCCTGGTGAGGGGGGGAGGTAGCCAGGCTCCTTGCTTGGCCAGGAAGATGGCTGAGGGCTTTGTGTGGGGATGAGTAAGAGGGACCCATGCCCACCAGAAGCCACGGGGCAGCAGCAGCTGGTGAAGGCAGCACCAGCCATCTGGGCAAGCCTCCTGGTACAGTGGTCCATGGGCCTGCCTCCTTCACCCAGAGGCGCCCTGCTGCAAGACCCACAAGGCCCAGCCAACTCATGCCCTCAAGGAAGCCTCCTCCCTGAGCCCGTTCCAGCCTGTGCCGGGAGGAGGGTAGAGTGTGAGGTCCCCGGTGCTGCTCAAGGGGTGGGCGCAGCCCTGGCCGCATCCAGGACTGCCAGCTGTGCCCTAACTCTAGAACCTACTGCTGCTCCAGCACGGGGTAGAAGGTGCAGGGGCTTTAGGCTTCTGATCAGCCCAACATCAGGTGTTTTCTCCATGTGGGCAGAAAGCCATTCAGAGGCCTGGTCGGTGGAGAAGGGACATGGAGATGGCCAGTCAGGGCCATCTGAGAACGGGCTCAGGGCTGACAGGGAGGGCCGCCGCTGGCTAAGAAGAGAGCAAAGGCTGACTGAGCAGCCACTGTGCCACAGTGGCCATGAGCCTGTCCTTGGCCTCTGGTCAGGTAGCTGTGGGCACCACCTGCCACCCACTGTGGTGTCTCCTTGTCTGGGCTCCGGCTCTGTGAGCCCTAGGTTCACCTCTGTCTCAGCCTATCCTTGCCATCCTGGCAGGATGGCACACACGCTTCCTAGTGCAGGGTCTCCATCCTGCCCCAGGAAACATGTCAGTGCTGGGGACCGGTGCTTGGTTATCACCGGAGAGAAGGACAGCCCCTGGCATCTCCGAGAGATGGGCTAGCAGACGCCCACAGGGCAGAGACAGCCCCTGGCACCAGCATGCGTGGGCATGCCCGAGCCCAGGTCCCCCAGCCTTGCTTGCATACACATGGTAGGCAGCTCCCAGGGCGACTCCTGAGGACTGGGGGCTCAGGGGAGCTCAGGCTGCCCCTCAAACATGGACCTGGACTTGCGCACGCCTCAGCAGCAGAGGAGCAGCTAGGCCAGTGTGTGGCACAGACCCAGGGTTGTGGCTGTCCAGAGCACAGCTGGGACCCTCTCCTGCCAGCCTTGCATGTCGCCCCCGGGCCACCAAGGGAGGCCCAGGTCCCAGGCGGCCCCCACCAGGCCTTGGCTGTGTGTGGAAGAGCAGGCTCATCTCTGCCAGCATTGGCCTTGGACTGCCCCCCTGACCCCACCCCCGGTAAGGTCCAAGGAGGAGGGGACACAGCATGGGGAAGGCCCAGTCAAGGCCCACAGGACACATGTGCAGGCTGGGGTTCGTTCTGTGCAGCGGGGCCCAGCTCGGAGGGGGCCATGTGGGACAGGCCACTCTGGACATGCCAGGCGCCTCTCCACACCTGCCTCACCCAGACGGAGACCCCATGGCACGCATTTTTATGGAGGAATTTATTGTTCCAGAACTGAAGTTGCTCACAGTTATTGGACAGGGGTACACCGCGTGGGGCTTGTCCGTTTCCGTGACGCCTGGGTGAGTCCTGTGTGTCCAGGGTACAAAAGAGGAAGCCGGCGGAGTATTGCTGTCAGCGTCCTGCCTCGGCCCCACCCGCGTACCGCGTGGCTTTGCTTTACAGGTGTTTGGTTTTTACGTATAGAAATCTCAGCCTGTGGTAGAGGTTAATGTAACAGAAGTATTAAAATCTATACATGAGGGGGAGGGGGCATGCATCAAACCTGCCGCCCGGCCTCCTGCGGCCGTGCCGTGCCGTGCGCCGCGCCGGCCAGCCCCAGGCCTGGGCCGGCAAACAGAACAGAACAGAACACAGACGGAAGCTGGAGATGGGTGAGGCAAGGCGGGTCTGCCCGGCGGCCAGCGGGCATGGGGGCGGGCACGGGCCACCCTCCTCCACGCCAGGGACAGGACACACGCTGAAGAGCACACGGCGGACTCTCGCTCTGTTTTTCCATTTTTTTTAAACATTTTTGATTTTACGTAAAAAAAAGCCCCAAGGTGCCCCTGCCATCCTTTGGGGGTGGTGCCAGCTTGGGGGCTTCTAACCCTTCACGCCCAGAGACACGAAACCAAGACCCCCTTTCAAGCACAGCTGACCAGTAGGCTGCAGGCTGAGCCACTCACAACAGGAAGACGCCCCAGACCCCCATGTGGAATTGGAGCTGCTTCTAGGCAGTAATACAACAGAACCTGGGTTCGGCTAACCGCATCGATCTTTAAATATATATATATATATATATATATGTATATGTATATAGAAATAACCAGGAGCGAGGAACCAAACACAAACCCAGCCCTGCCCCAGCAGCTCCCCCACACACCCTTTTCCAAAAACAACCAAGAAAAAAAACGTTTATAAAAATAGCTTGCAGGAATTCTTTTAAGTTTACAGTAGCTTGCCAGTGCTGCACCCACCGGCCCGTTCCCCGCTTCCCCCGCCCCGACGGCTCTATCCTCAAAGGGCACCTTGGCTCTGGACCCACCCTGCCCAACACACACAGACAGATGGACGGACAGACAGACGGACAGACGGAGGGCACTACTGTTTCTGACCCTTCCCTGAACAGAGAACGGAGAAATAGACTCAATAAATTAAAACAGCAAATAAATAATACTGATCTGGGCCCAGCCCCCACAGCCCGGGCAGCTCTGCTGTGTCCAGGCTTCCCTGTGCCACCTCGGCCAGGGAGGATGGTCAAGAGCCAGAAGCACCCACAACCCCAGCCCGGCGGTGCAGAAATGGATGCGGACGAGGCAGGAGGCAGGAGGCCGAGGTGCAGAGCAGGGAGGTGGCAAGGAGGCCTTTGGGTGCGGTGCTGAGGCAGGTGCACGGTCTTCCCACTTCTCCCACGGGGGCCTGCCCTGAAGGCTGTGGGCAGGCTGCCGCTGCCGAGGGCTCTGGGAGTCCGGGTGAGCTGGGCTGCAGGAAGCTTCTCCCGGGAGCTGGGTGCTCCTCCACTGGGCCAAATGGAGCTGCCAAGGGTGGGCAGAGGCGGCGGGCAGCAGAGGCTGCTGTGCCCAGCAGCGGCGGGGCGGAGGGCAGGTCCACAGCAGCTGCTGGTCAGCCAGTGTCCGCACGGAGCAGAGGATGGCCACGTGGAGGTGACATGTTAACTTTTCAGGATAATTCCTGGTATCAGAGCGGAAACAAGCGACGTCATCAGAGACAGGCAGAGACAGAGACCGAGAGAGAGAAAAGAGAGCAAGTGCGACACAGGCCGCGCCCGGGCACCGCTCTCCTCTCCTCCCTGGCTCGAGACAACGTCAGAGCGGGCGGGTGTGGTCTGGGTCCACACCACGGCGGCGGCGGCGGCCACGGTCAGTGCTGTGCTGGGGAGGGACTAGGGTCTAAGGCTGCTCACGGCGGGCGGCGGGCGGCCCCATCCTGGCCATGTCCTTGCCCATCGGGTACTCGGTGTCCCCTCCAGGGCCAGCGGCCACGGAGTCGCCCGAGGGGCCGGGGGCACTCCGCTTGGCCGGTGTGCCGGGGGCCTGGGCCGCCTGCCCATTCTTCTCGTCTGAAAAAAGTTGTTTAATTACGTCAAAGAAGTTACTCAATGGGCTGCCTGGGTACACAGAACAGAAGACAAGAGAGAGAGAAAAGAAAAAAGGGAGGGAGGGAAAGGAGAGAAAGAGAACAAACAAACACATGAACGAAAGGGGCCTTGGTGGGAGGAAGAAACCAGCGAGATGAGGTTTGTGATGGGGGGCGGAGGGACAGGCAGGCAGCAAGCGGGTGGCAGGCGGCAGCAGGCTCCCTCACTCCAGGGCACGGGAGCGGCCATGGGGGCCCGGGGCTCCTGAAAATGGAGGTCTCCCCCAACAGGCCTGCCCCTGAAGGCCCCTGGCCTCCCCTCCCCGCCGAGCCTCCTGCACACCAGCTGGCTCATTCCCACCCTGGAAGCAGCAGCTCAAGGACCAAGACCCCCAATGTCTGCCTCCAACGCCAAGCTGGGGCCACTGCAGGCTCCATGGCCCACCCAGGGATGGGGAGGTCAAAGCAGTGCCCAGAAGAAGACAGATGCGCCTGCCACACCTCCAGGATGGCCAGAGCTTAGCCCCAGGCCAGCATGGACAGGTCAGCAGCAGATGGATGGATGGATGGATGGATGGGTGGGTGGATGGATGAACGGATGGATGGGTGGAAAGATGTGTGCATGGATGGGTGGATGGACAGGCATGGTGGGCAGGTGAGGGGACTGGGGACAGGTAGCCAGGTCTAGGTTCCTGGTCCCAGAAGGCAGGAAGAATGGGGCAAAAATGGGATGACCACCCCTTCTGGGGCAGATGCCCACCTCAACTCCACTCCTAGTTCAAAATCCCGTATTGGAAAAAAAAAAAAAAAACCTCCACTCCACTCCACAATATGACCTCCACCTCCACCCTGAGCACTGCAGGTCCCTCCCCTCCCTGACAGGCCCCTCCCCTCCCTGACAGGCTCCTCCTCCCTGACAGGCCCCTCCCCTCCCTGACAGGCTCCTCCTCTCCCTGACAGGCCCCTCCCCTCCCTGACAGGCTCCTCCTCCCTGATAGGCTCCTCCACTTCCTGAAGGCCCCTCCTCTCCCTGATAGGCTCCTCCCCTTTCTAACAAGCCTCTCCTCCTGCCAGGAGTGACAGGTGGACGGTCTACCCTGAGGCCAGATCAGCACCTACTTCAAGACCCTGGCCAGCCCTTCCTGCCCTAAGCCTTGGGCTCCCTAGAGGTTCCTGGTTGTGGGGACAGGCAAAGACTGCCAGGAAGGGGTGAGTGACAGAGACTGCTTCTGGCAGAAGATGGGGTGGCAGGTGCCCAGGGGCCTGTGCATACACAGGGGGCCTAAGCCAGCCCCGCCCAGCAGGGCTGCACTGGCCAGGGTAGGCTGTGGGGGAGAGCAGTGCGTTGCAGGCCCAGGTGCCAGGTGAGCGTGGGGATTCTTACCACATTTGGAAAGCCGCCCCGTCATCATTTCCATACAGTTAGTGGTGTCTGGAGCACAGAATGGAGAAAGGAGGGAGGGAGAGAGTGAAAAAGGCTGCCCGCTCTCCACCCACAGGCGGCGGCTGGGAGGGGGCAGGCCACAGAGGGGCAGAGCCAGGAGTGGACAAGTTCATCTGGAGGGGGCGGGCCACAGGGGGTGGCAGAGCCAGGAGTGGACAAGTTCATCTGGAGGGGGCGGGCCACAGGGGGTGGCAGAGCCAGGAGTGGACAAGTTCATCTGGAGGGGGCGGGCTACAGGGGGTGGCAGAGCCAGGAGTGCAGGAGCTCCTGTGGGTGGGGCCTGTCCCTGAGCCCTCCCTTAAGGCGGAGCTGGCTTAAGGGGTGGAGCTAAGGGCAGGCCCCAGGAGGAGAGGCGTGGTCAGCTGGAGGCCTGGGTACGGCCTGGTCCCAGGCTGAGGACCGCAGGACCATGCCCGCGCAGCAGGTGCCTCTGAACCTGGCTACGTTGATAGCCACTGCACGCTGGCCCCCATTCGCCCCTCAGTTCCTCTTGGTGCCCCCCTTCCTTGCCCCATTCCCTCTGCTGGGCTTCGGTGTGTCAGTGCTGGCAGAGGCCCAGCCTGGGAGGGGCCGAGCCTTGGGTGGCTGCAGAGCTGAGGGGTAGAGGGCACACCTGCACAGGACCTGTGTCCAGTGTGCGAGGAGGCCCAAGAGAGCTGGCTACGCCTCAAGGAGACCGTGCAGGGCCACGGTCCCGACTAGGGGCCCCAGGCCCACAAGGAAACAGATGAGGCTGAGAGTGAGCACCCAACGGTCTCTGGACGGGCTCGGCAGAGCCAGGCTGGCAGGGCAGAGACACAGCCAGGTCCCTCATGGGCCACACTTTGCTCACTGGGACACCTGGGAGCGGGCAGGGACTGGGGGTGACAACGTGGGCAGACAGGCCGTGGGTGGTCCAAGACCCCCTCAGAGCAGAGCAGCAGTGCGCAGACGGCCCTGCAGGTGGAGGGCCCTGGGCACCACCCTGGGCTCCAGGCTTCTCTGCCCAGCCTCAGTCGCTGGCTGGCCTCCTGGTCCCCATCTCCTCCACAGCCCTGCTGCAGTTCCTTGGTGTTTTCCTCTGCTCTAAGATGGAGGCCTGGCACCTCCCAAGGGCAAAGCAGGCCCCGCTGACCACCCCTCCTCCCACCACAGGGCACCTGGCCCCGCCCTGCCCCTGCCCCGGGCACACCCGCAGGGGATGGAATGAGGATGGAATGAGCATGGGGATGGGTGGACAGGACCTCCGGGACCCTGCGCGCGCCGCAGGTCACCTGACAGGCCTGCCGTGGACACCGGCTGGGTGAAGCCCTGGAGACCCCCCGGCCGTGAGGCTCGGAGGCTGGACTCGGGCCGCTCTTCATATCCCCCAGACCCTCATGGGACAGCAGCCCCGTGCACACCACCGGCCAGGGCACCCCTTGAAGAGCAAGGGGGCCTGTGAGCGTGCGCAGGCCCTCAGCCCCGCCAGATGCCCAGCGGCCCCATGCCCGAGGCCCCGGCGCCTCCCGAGGGCCCTGCCGTGGGCCTGGGTGGAGGCCTTGGGCCGTCTCCAGTTTGAGGTAAGGCTGTGGGTGGTCAGGCGCTGTGGGGAAACAGGAAGCCCCTGCCCTCGTGGAGGGCTGCAGGGGGCCCTGAGGGGCGGGCCTCAATGCGGGGCCCACTGGCCTGTCCAGGACCAGGACGGAAGAGGGGGCAGGCGGTGCCCCCTCAAGGCCAGCCTGGCTGTAGCTGGAGGCCCTGCCCACGGCCCTCCCGCCCCGGCAGCAGGCCGGGCACCTTACCTGCCAGCGTCAGAGGCTACTCTCGTAGCTGGTGGCCACCTTCTGGCCCTTAAGCCCAGCGCCCCAGCTTAGTCCTGGCGCTGGCGGGGGCGGTTCTACGGTGGACAAGAGGTGCCTTTCAGTGTGCTGCCGCCCGTTGTGCCCGGGGCGAGCCCTGCTCCCTGCGAGCAGCTCGGCTCGGGGCAGGGAGGCGGGCATCCGGCCGAGGAGCCGGGAGCCATGCTCGGTCCTCATACCTCCCGTCCACGCAACGCCGCCAACCCCGCTCACGGACGCAGGGCCTCACTGCGCCCACCTCACCTGACAAGTGCTGGGCCGAGGGCTGGTCATGGGTGCTCAGCAGCTGGGCCTGGATGGTCTCCACCACCCTCTTGAAGCGGCGGCTGGGGCCTGCAGGGACGGGGCAGGGGTGAGGCCCGAGGAGGGTGGCGCTGGGGCCAGCGGGCGGGGGCGGGGCGGGGGCGGGGCTCACCTGAGAGCAGGGTGAAGGTGACCGAGTAGATGCCGTTCTCCTTCTGGGCCTCGCCGCCCTCGGTGTAGGTGATGTCCACCTGGAACTTGACCGGCTTCTGGAACACGGCTGGCCCGCCCGTCGCCTTGTACTCAGCCCGGAAGCTTGTCTGGGAGATGACGCTGTGGCTGAGGCTGGGGATCTGCGGGGTGTAGTGGCATCAGCCTGGGGCACCCGGGTCCCCGTCCCCAGTTCTCCGTCCTTCTGAGATCTGCCAGCCAGGGTGGCTGGGCAAAGCCAGGAAGCCCGGCCAGCGCGGGGCCGAGGGCACCAGCCCTGCATTCTCTCCTGGCCACAGGAATCCTTACAGAAGGTGGGGGCACATACACCAGGTGGGAGGTAGGACAGAGGGGCATCAGGCTGCCCCTAGGCAACGGGAGTGGCCGAAAGGGCCACAGGCCTTGGCTGTCCATGGGACGTGAGCCAGGCACACTCGTGAGTCCCACTACTCTACCAAATGGGCAGGCCCGCAGCCCCTGCCCCGGCCGCGAGCTGCACCGCACAGATGGGGTCACCCTGCGCGCGCGCACAACACTGGGCAGCCTGAAGGACAAAAGGAGGCCCGGGCTGGCTGGTGACGCGATAGAGGGGTGAGGTGATGCTAGCAGGCACTTCGGGGGGCTGGGGGGCTGTGCTAACCCAGACCCTAACTTGACCTGAGGGTCTCCTCCCACCCCCAGGCCCTGTGGGCTCCACAGCCATCCTCAACCTCATGGGGCTCTACATCTGCCTCAGCAGGTGCTCTGAGAGGCCCGGGGCAGAGGGCCCAACAAGGCAAGGGCCCCTGTGTACCACAGGACAGGGGCGCTGTGGGAACAACAGGACAGGGAAAGCTGTGTTCGTTACAACAGGACAGGGGCGCCTGTGCTGCACCCTGGGTTTGGAGGCGGCCTGGGAGTGACCAGCTACCCCCGCACCCCACATCAGCACATGGAGGTCCTGGGGGAGGGGCAGGTATGGCGGGCTGGGCACGGGGCTGAGGCTGGGCCAGCACAGGCCAGGGTGGCACTCACAGGGACAGCGGCCCCCTAAGGAGTCTCGGGGACCTCATGTGCTGGCCCAGTCTCTACCACATCTCAGGGCCCTCCTGCTCTTCAGATTCCAAAAGATGAAAGCCCAAGCCCTGGACCTGGCCCCCCACAGGCCACTGAACCCCGGGCGGGGCTGACTCCAAAACCTGCCTGCCATGCGATAAAGAAGTGAACAAACAGGCACCAGGGGCTCACTCCTGTGATCATAGCTATTCAGGAGGCTGAGCTTTGAGGATCACTGTTCAATGCCAGCCTAAGCAGGAAAGTCCATGAGACTCGTATCTACGATTAACCACCAAAAAGCCTGAAGTGGAGCTGTGGCTCAAGCGGTAGAGCCCTAGCCTTGAGCAATAAAGCTCCCAGAGTTCAAGTCTCAGGACACACACACACACACACACACACAGCAGCAGCAGCAGCAGCAGCAGCAAATTGGAAATAGAGTCTGACCTCAGGATGTCCACAGAGGGCCAGCAGGCTCTCCCAGGTCCTCAGGGTCACAGCCTAGCCCCACTCCCCTTTGCTTACAGGTGATTTTACCCCCAGAACCCCCTCTGTTACTCCCACCCACAGGCAGCTCCCCACTCTGTGGGCAGCACAGCGCCCCCTGCAGGCAAGGGCCTGAGTGGGCCCTGCTTATCCAGGAAGGCAGGCTCAGGATGAGCTGAACACAAGCACCTGCGTGGTGCGCTGGACCCGGCCAGGGGACACCTATGGACACAGCACCCGCGGTCCACGTGGTACGTGGGTCCACAGCCAGGGGACGCCCACCCAGCTCCCCTGGGGACACAGGCACCCGCGGTCCACGTGGACGCAGGTCCACAGCCAGGGGACGTCCACCCAGCTCCCCGGCGGCCTCACCGAGAGGAAGGCGTGCACAATGTCGGCCTTAATGGAGCTCAGGGGTTTGTCCTTGATGACCGCAAAGATCTGCTCCTCCTTCTCCAGGTTGATGAAGTTCCCGAACCAGGATTTCTTGGCCAGCCTAGGCAGGGCAGGGGATGTAAGGACCAGGTTGCGGTGTCTGGTCACTCTGACGGCTGCCCCTCCACTGCACCCTAACCTAGCCACAGCCCCATCAACTCCAAACCCTAACCCCAGCCCAGCCCTAACCAGTCCATCCACTGTCCCTAGCAGCTTCCTGCTACTCAGACCTCGCCCCACCCACGTCTGGAGGGCACTTGATGGACACTCGGTGAAGGGGAAGGGAGGGACCCTGGCTTTGTCCATCTGTTTAGGTTCCTAAACTCTGGAGTTGCTTGCTCTGTCCTTTCTTGGCAGAATTGATGGGAGCCTTGCGCTTATAAGTATACACAAGACAGTCATAGAGAACACCGCGCCCAAGCTGATGGTGCCCCGCCCTGTGAAACGCAGGACCCTCACCGGCCCCCAGGGTCAGAACCCCTCTCAGCCACACAGACCCCACCCCAAACCCTGAACCAGTCTGTGTAACTCTATACTTAACCGGATTTGCCTTCTTAGGTTGACAACATATTCTCAGCTTGACACAGAACATGACTAGTGCTAGTCTGCCACTGCCCCCTGCTGCCCAGCTAGCCTGGGCTGCCTGTGGCAGGACCCGGACACATAGGGGCCTGTGCGGTTGGTCCCCTGTCCCACAGCCATCTGTCCACTCCCCACTGTCTCCTGAGTCATGATGCCCTTCTGTTTGCAGGAGCCCCACCCCCGCAGAGGCCTAAGCGCTGCCCGGCGGCCAGCGCAGAGCGGTAGCACAGGGGCCCGGCCCGGAGCGCCTCTCCTGAGGTCGGCACAGCCTCCTGAGGAGGCTGCAGGTGGCATCGACTCAACCTCAATCTGGTCTAGCACCTGGAACTGTGGAGAGGTGTTCATTCCCAGCCCAGCCCAAGACACCACAGCCTGGCGGCCCTCATCTCGAAGCCTTCGGCCCATGGAAGCCACTGCCAGGACCCTGCTCCAGAGACAGGCTGTCACCCAGCCGGGCAGCCGCCTCGCTGGGCCCATGCTGCTGCAGCACAGATGCCGGCTGGGGCAGCAGGCAGACGAGGCCAGTGAGCACACAGCGGGATCCAGGTGTAGCCGCCGTGAGCACACAGAGCCGCTGCCCACCAGTCACACCTATTTCACGGGTTCCAGCCAGAGACACATAAAGACCAGGTGCTGAGGGGAGTGGCCGCAGTGGCCCAGGTCGGGGACTTTGCTGGGGCCACGATGGCCAAGCTTGGTGTGGGCTCTGTGCTGGGCACCTCCCGTTCTGACCCGGGGCTTGGCAAGGGACCTCCCTTTTAACTGCCTCCTCTGTGTCTGTGTCTGGAGCTGTTTGATCGCCATAGCCGACCTGGCACACGTGGCTGCTGGCCCAGTGCCCAGGCTTCTGCTGCCTGCAACCATCGTGTATGCAGAGTTCTTGGCTCAAGGCTGTTGCCCACCTGCCCTGGTGTTCATGTTGGGTCTCTGGGCCCAGAGACCCACGGGGGCAGTTCTGGAATCCACGTGCAATGTCGTATCAGAACCCCCCCCACCCTGGGCCTCTTGCACTGTGGGACCCTGCATGCCGTCCCGAAGCCTGGTGATCTGTAAGTGAGGATGCAGCCCTTGGCAGAAGTGTCAGGGTCCGTATGGCTGGACCACAGGCCTGGCGGGAACTACAGGAGTCTGACACTGCACACAGTCCTGAAAGCACGGAAGGCCCTTCCCATCCACCCAAGGCCCCAGGAGGAAGACAGCTACGCAGACAGACAGCGCTGCAGGAGACTGAGGCAAGTGGGTGCTGACAGGCTCGCCACTGCCTGGGCAGCAGGCAGCAGGCGGCTCCCCACACGGGAGGAGGGAGAGGGTGATGGTGCTGTTTCTGGACTACTGCACTGGTGCAGGCCCTGGTGGGGGACAGGCCCTGGTGGGGGACAAGACCCTTGGAGGGGATCCTCAAAGGGGCTTGGCCAGCTACCTCAGGCAACGGTGCCTTTCTTCCTACTTTTCCAAGAACCAGGGTCATCACAGGTCTGTTTAGGAAACCCAGTAAGAGGAGAGAGGGCCACGTCCAGGTGAAGCGATTGACACCTTCAATCCAGGCTACCTGAGGTGGAAACTGGAGTCTACAGGGCAGGGGTTAACCACCTCTCCTCTCAACCCACATAGCAGACATGGCCACACTCCCAGCTACGTGGGGGCCTTAGTAAGAGGAGTGCAGTCCGAGGCCAGCCAAGGTGAAGCCCCAGGCTCTATCAGAACAAAAAACCCCTGGGGGCATGCTCATGAGGCCCGCGCCTTGTTTGCATGAAGCACTAGGTTCAAACCCCAGGATCACCAGCAAAACAAAACCAAGCTTAGAATCCGCTGAGGTGTGCCTCTACCTCTCGCTGAAATACTGGTGGAGAAGGTGGCATTGGTCTAGGCAGGAAGTCCAGTCCAGACGCCGTTCCGGGGGCTAGCTGTCCCCCACGGGATCTGGTTGAGAGCTGGTAGCAAGATTACAGCCACCGGCCCTGTGCTCTTTGCAGGAGGCCACGTGGCCCCAGCCAGGCCGCTGCTCTTTGCAGGAGGCCACGTGGCCCCAGCCAGGCCGCTGCTCTTTGCAGGAGGCCACGTGGCCCCAGCCAGGCTGCTGCTCTTTGCAGGAGGTCTGTGAGGGTCCTGTGTTGTTTTCACAGGTGCAGACACAGACACCAATGACAGAAGTCTCCGCAGAAGGCAGAGAGGGCCTGGGTACTGGACAAGGCATTTCTACTTCTAGACACCTACTACAACGGGTCTACAGGACTACAGGTGGGTGCAGCTCTGCCCACCTAGGCTTCCTTCCTCCCCCAGCTGAGGGCTGCAGGAGGCACTGGGGCTGGCCCTGCTGCTGTCTGCCCCAGCCCTGCAGAGGCTGCCCCCCCGCACCCCCCCTCCCCTGGCATGGCCACCAGGCACAGCGGCCTGACTCTGGGAGATGACCCTGGGTCTTACAGCTGCCCTCTCCCACATTCTCCTGTGACGCAGGCTTCCCCACCAGCCTCGGGCCCTCAAAGGGCCGTGTACCTCCGTTGCCTGTCCCCTAGTCAGCCTCAGGTCTCCCAGGGGTCTGTGGCTTCTGAGCAAGGCTGAGTTACCCCGCGCCACGTGGCTGGGAACCCCAAGTAGACCAAGTGAGCCTGGTTCTGTGGTGGGCAGGAGCAGACAGGCCGAGGAGACGAGGAGAAAAGCCTCAGGTGGTGGCTTCCAGTCATGGGACAGGTCCTCAATTCCCCCCACCCCGCCCAGTCCTGGGAGGGGTCCTCATCTCCCCCCAACCCAGTCATGGGACGGGTCCTCAACTACCACACCCCCACCCCCCCAGTCATGGGACGGGTCCTCATCTCCCCCCCACTCCACCCAGTCATGGGACAGATCCTCATCTCCCCCCCCAACCCAGTCCTGGGACAGGTCCTCATCTCCCCCCACCCCCCCCAGTCCTGGGACGGGTCCTCATCTCCCCCCCACTCCACCCAGTCATGGTACGGGTCCTCATCTCCCCCTACCTCCCCCCCAGTCATGGGACAGATCCTCATCTCCCCCCACACTCCACCCAGTCATGGGACAGATCCTCATCTCCCCCACCCCCAGTCATGGGACAGGTCCTCATCTCCCCCCCCCACTCCACCCAGTCATGGGACAGGTCCTCATCTCCCCCCCCACTCCACCCAGTTATGGGACAGGTCCTCATCTCCCCCCCCCACCCAGTTATGGGACAGGTCCTCATCTCCCCCCCCCACCCAGTCATGGGAAGGGTCTTCATCTCCCCCACCCGCCCAGTCATGGGACAGGTCCTCTTCTACCTCACCCCACCCAGTCATGGGACAGGTCCTCATCTCCCCACCCCCCAGTCATGGGACAGATCCTCATCTCCCCCCACACTCCACCCAGTCATGGGACGGGTCCTCATCTCCCCCACCCCCAGTCATGGGACAGGTCCTCATCTCCCCCACCCACCCAGTCATGGGACAGGTCCTCTTCTACCCCACCTGCCCAGTCATGGGACGGGTCCTCATCCCCCCCACCCCCAGTCCTGGGACAGGTCCTCATCTCCCCCACCCGCCCAGTCATGGGACAGGTCCTCTTCTACCTCACCCCACCCAGTCATGGGACGGGTCCTCATCCCCCCCCCCAAGTCCTGGAACGGGTCTGCATTTCCCCACCGGCGCCTGAGCAGAACTACTTACTCTGGAGAGGACTCAGGGGTCAGGTTGGACATTTCCTCAGGTGTTGGAACTGTGAGAGAGAAGTGGGAGAGAAATGAGGGGCCGGCTCCTTCCTCCCACCAGGTGTGCCCCAGGCCCTGCCTGCCCGCCCAGACGGAGCTGTCCAGTTCCTGGTGCTGAAGCCCAGCTAGCCCAGATCTAGCCAGATGGCACCTGGTGTTCCAGGCTGTCCTGAGAACTTCCCAACCCTGTAACTGGCCTTGCCTGGCACAGCTGCTGCCCGAGCTTCGGGGCAGAATGACGTCCAAGGAAGACAGGAGGGTGGGCCAGAGAGCCAGCATGGGCTGGGGGGTGGGGTACAGCAGTGTGGCTGGTGGCCCCCGTGGCTGCAGGTGCAGTGGGTCTGGGGACAGCGGGGGAAGGGCTTGCGGTGCCCTGCGTGGGCACTGACCTTGCAGTTTCCGGCGGTGGAAGCGAGGTGAGCCCAGGAAACTGTTCTTGATAGAGTTGAGCCGGGTCCGCCAGGGCACCCCTCCGACGCTGGGGCTGGACGGCGGCGTGGGGTTGGGGGTGCCTGCTGGGCTCTCCTTTGGCGTGTGGACGGGCGTCCCCTTGGGGGTGGGGAGGGGACTACCCCTTGGTGAGGGGTGAGGGGTCACCTGTATGGTGGGGACAGATTTGGTGTTTGGTTCAGTCCCGGTGAGCTGGAGCCGGGTGGTGGCCGGCAGGGCAGGGGCACCAGGAGCCAGGGCGGGCTGGGAGCCGAGGCTGGTGCCAGGTGGCCGGGCCTGGGTGCAGGCCGGGAGCGGGTTGGACCTGGCGCCCTGAAGCGGCCTGTCGGTCAGCTTGGCCTTGCACGGCAAAGTCTGGGTCTTGGGGTTGGGCCGCAGGGCGGCCTGTGGAGGGAGGAGGTGTCCGGGCCGCGAGATGCTCCGACAAGCTTCGGGCTCCACGGAGGTGGCCAGGGGGCAGGCCACACGGGGGGGCTCAGCCGGGGGGCAGGCCACACGAGGGGGCTCAGCCGGGGGGCAGGCCACACGGGAGGGCTCCGGGGGCAGAGGGGGCAGGACGAACTTTCTAACAGGCTACGGGGTCGCCGAGAGCGAGCGAGAGAGCGAGCAGGCGGAGACCATGCGCCCCCCCCCATGCACACACAGAAGCAAGGATCAGAAAGGCGTCGAGCAGGACCCCAAGCAGGACCCCAAGAAGGACCCAAGGGTGGGGGGCAGCCGGGGGGAGGGTTTGCCACAAAAGAAAACAAGGGACACACACACAAAAAAAAAAAACAAACACAAAACAGAAGTGCAGTTAGCCAGAGCAGCCTAAGCACAGACACCAGGGGCCCAGCCCTGGCGGCCGAGGCCTGTGCGCCAGGGCGGGCAGCTGCCTGGTCCACAGGGGCGCTGCCCTCCCGCCCCGGCATGCACCGCCTGGCGGGCCTATCTGTGGGCAGGACAGCAGCCCCGCGGGCCGGAGGTGGGAGCGGTCATCACTCACCCGGGGGCTGCTGAGCGGACTCGTGGAGAGGCCAGAGGAGGCGCCGCTGATGGACCGGGACCTGGGATGCAGAGCAGAGCGGTGACTCGCGGGCTGGGCTCCGGGGTCCCCCACGTGGCCCTCCAGGACACCTCTGGATCTGACCCGCACCTAGGCGGCCGGGCCTGGTCCCTGTCCACTACGTGCCCCGGCAGTGCCGGGGGTAATTCTGTGACCTGGCCCGCCAGTGCCTGTGAGCAGCTCAGCTGTGCAGGCTCCGCCTCCCTCCCATCAACCGTTTGGGCTCGGTCTGGAGGTACTTGGGTAGACGGACAGAGGAGGAGCAAGGTGGGCTCTGTGACTGGACACAGCCCTGTCCAGGCAAAGCCTCATGCCGTGCCCACTTCATGTCCATGGTGCCCAAGCCTGGCCTCTCCAAGCTGATTTACCACAGTGCCTGTGGGCTACAGCCACCACTAGCCCACCCCCCATGTCCACAGATGCCCATGGAAACGTCTGGGCCCGCCCACGGCCCTCTTCTTGACCAATCCTGGGGACAGCCACTGGCTTGGCGTGTCCACTAACACACAGGTGAGTGCAGCCTTCGCTCTGTCACTCACAAGAGTGGACACGGATGTCTGCCCATCCCCAGGCAGCAGAGCCTGCCATTCTTACAGGAGGAACAAGGTGCCACAGGAGAAAAGAGGACAGAAAAGGAAAAAAGACCACCCACGCCGCCCGCCTCCCACCCCTCCCACTGCCAGCCGGTCCTGCCAGGACTCGGCCTGCACACAACCCGGCTCCCGGGCTGGGAGCAGCAGGCAGGAGCCGCAGAGCACGGAGGGCTGCACGGGCTCCTGGCTGGACCCTGGGCAGTAGGTGGAGCCACACAGCCATGAGCTCGATTTTCCCATCTGACTGCTAAGGCGCCTAGATGCAGCAAGACCCATGCCCGGCGCAGTGCCGGGCCAGGGAGGCACGCGGGGCAGAGCCGGGCCAAGGTCCAGGTGTACACTTGGGATCTAGACCGGAGATGGGATGGGGGGGGGCAGGGGGCGTGGCAGCCATGCTGGCAGACACAACAAGCAAGGGCCCACAGTGCAGCCACAAGCACCCCGCTGGGCACAAGGAAAGCAGGGAGAAGCTGTGGGGCACAGGCACCACACGCAGCTTCCTGTCTGGCTTCAAGCAGCTCCAATCAAGCTCCCAGGGCTCAGCACAGGCCAGCCCTGAGCACGTTGGGGTGGGGGTGGGGGGCGGGAGGGTGACGGCAGAGGTGGGCACTGGGCAGCAAGGGGCTCCTCTGAGCCGGGGCCTGAGCAGACAGCTCATGCTCCTGGGTGGCAGCCCTGCCTGTCACCACCCACCCAGGGCCACCTCCCCCCCCCTGCCCCCCGCCACCTGCCACAAGACACAGATCCACTTCAATTCTGGCTACCTAGACCTAGCCAGGACCAGCACTGCCCACTGGACAGAGGGGACCAGCAGGGGGCAGTATGCCTGTATCCACGGGTGGATCCCAGTAAGCAAATACAGCAGGGCCGTGTAAGCCAGAGCGCGCAGGCCCGGGGCATGGCCCTGGGACACAGATCCTAGCCTCAGCCCTAGGCTGGGTCCTTCCTCTGCCCTGCCGAGACCCATTCCCGAAGAGGAGGGGCGAGAAGTGTCCGCAGCCGGGCCCGCCACCAGGCGCCCCGTGCCTGCCTGGCCCCCTCCGCCCGCCTGGGGCTGGGAGGGCAGGACAGTGGGCAAGGTGTGTACCTGTCTTCTCTGCTGAATTGGGGATGGGCTTCAACGATATCCAGGCTTTTACTGAACACTGCTTTACTACAGCAGGAACAAAGCGAGAAAACAGAGTTACTGCCGTGGCCCACGTACACGGGCCGGCTGCCAGGCCCGCCGCGGCCAGGCACACTGCCCCCCGGCCTCACCAGGCAAGACCTCCGCCACGGAGCTGCTCCTAGGCCACGCAGAGAGGACAGGAGAGGACGGGCCAGAGCCACGGCACCCCGCGCTGGGGACCTTGTAGACAAGGTGGCGGTGGCAAACGGCTTAGAGAGCGCTCACCCCCACCCACCCCACGCGACCTCCGCTCCCAGCCCGTGGCCCGCGGTGGCTGAAGGACGAGTGGCCAGGCCGGGAGCAGAAGCAGGCTGGGGCGTGACAGCTCCACGGTCCGCAGGGGGCTGTGCCCCCCACGGCAGCAGGCTGGAAGCAGGACAGATGCTGGGGATCCACCGGGCCACGTGGGTAAGGAGGGGAGCTCCAACCCACACAGGCCACAGGAACTGCAAGGCAACACCAGCCCATGCAGGCCACGAGAGGGGAAGGGGACACACCGGCCTACGCAGGCCACGAGAGGGGAAGGGGACACAGGCCACACAGGCCACGTGGGCAGGAAGGGGGCACGGGCCACACAGGCCACACAATCAGGAAGGGGAGCACAGGCCACGTGGGCGGGAAGGGGGCACAGGCTCATACAGGCCATGCAGGGGGGAGCGCAAGGGCCCATGAAGGCCCTGTGGGCAGGAAGGGGGGCAGAGCCCCACGGGCCTCGGCCTGTAGGGTGGTGGAAGGGTGAGGCAGGAGGCGGGGATGTGGGCTGACAGCCCTGCCGAGGTCAGGCACAGGCACCAGAGAAGAGCCAGGGTGGCGGGAAAGCCAGCAGGACTGTCCGGTGCTTGCCGTCCGACCCAGCACCAGGACCCAAGTGTGCAATAGCGGCTGGAGAATGAGAAGGGTGGGAGCCTGGGCTGAAGGCCAGGCCAGCCGCGATGCCTGCACAGGGCCTGCGAGCAGCCGGTCAGCCTGGGCAGTGCTACCAGGATGGACACTGGGCCGCCTCGTGGCTCCCGACTCAGGGTCAAGCAGCAGCTCCAGCAGGAGAGGGAAGGGGGCGCTGGCTGAGACCAGCGGTAGCCAGGGCTGCTGGGCCTTGCCAGGCTCGAGCCTGAAATGGCCGAGACACCACCTCCCGGGGGCAAGTTGGGGTCCCTTAAAGGCTGAACCCAGCAGGAAGATCTGAGCAGGCCTCCCCTGCCCCCGGCCCACACACTTCCGGTTCCCAGGCTCCGGTGCCCTTCCCTCTCCAGGGTCCTGTTGGGACAGCCGTGCTTGCTCACCACATCCTTGCCTAAAGCACTGCTGCTGGACGCTAGCGGACAGCCAGGCATCAGCAACCCAGGAGCCAGCCAGGGTGGTGGCTCTGCACATGGCTGGACCAAATCACAGCCCAGCTCAGCCCAGTCCTGTCTAATCCAGTTCGGCCCAGTCTAGCTCAGCTCACTCCAGCCCAGCCCAACCCAGTGTGCTTCAACGAAGTCAGGCTCAGTCCAGCTCAGCTCAGCCCATCTTAGTTCAATCCGGTCCAACCCAGTCTAATCCAGCCCAGCCCAGCTCAGCTCAGCAGTCCAGTCCAGCTCAGCTAGTTAGCACAATCCAGTCTAATCCAGCCCAGTCCAGCTCAGCACAGCCCAGCCCAGCCCAGCTCAGTCCAGCTCAGCTCAGCCCAGCCCAACCCAGCCCAGTCCAGCCCAGCCCAGCTCAGCCCAGCCCAGCCCAGCCCAGTCCAGCTCAGC